AGCTTACATTGAAGGGTTTTGTTATGTTATTGTCAGGAATAGAAGGAAATGGTACATGTAGCTTACATTGGAGGGTTTTGTGATGTTTTTGTAAGGAAGGAAATGGTAACTTACATTGAAGGGTTTTTTGATGTTATTGTCAGGAGTAGAAGGACATGGTAGCTTCCATTGGAGGGTTTTGTGTTGTTATTGTCAGGAATAGAGAAGGAAATGGTAGCTTACATTGAAGGGTTTTGTGATATTATTGTCAGGAATAGGGGGAAATGGTAGCTTACATTGAAGGGTTTTGTGATGTTATTGTCAGGAATAGAAGGAGATGGTAGCTTACATTGAAAGGTGTTGTGATATCATTGTCAGGAATAGAAGGAAATGGTAGCTTACATTGAAGGGATTTGTGATATTATTGTCAGGAATAGAAGGACATGGTAACTTACATTGGAGGGTTTTGTGATGTTATTGTCAGGAATAGAAGAAAATGGTAGCTTACATTGAAGGGTTTTGTGATGTTATTGTCAATGGTAACTTACATTGAAGGGTTTTTTGATGTTATTGTCAGGAGTAGCATTGTCAGGAATAGAAGGAAATGGTAGCTTATATTGAAGGGTTTTGGGATATCATTGTCAGGAATAGACGGAAATGGAAGCTTACATTGAAGGGTTTTGGGATATCATTGTCAGGAAAAGACGGAAATGGAAGCTTACATTGAAGGGTTTTGGGATATCATTGTCAGAAAAGACGGAAATGGTTGCTTACATTGAAGGGTTTTGTTATGTTATTGTCAGGAATAGGAGGAAATGGAAGCTTACATTGAAGGGTTTTGTTATGATATTGTCAGGAATAGGAGGAAATGGAAGCTTACATTGAAGGGTTTTGTTATGTTATTGTCAGGAATAGGAGGAAATGGAAGCTTACATTGAAGGGTTTTGGGATATCATTGTCAGAAAAGACGGAAATGGTTGCTTACATTGAAGGGTTTTGTTATGTTATTGTCAGGAATAGGAGGAAATGGAAGCTTACATTGAAGGGTTTTGGGATATCATTGTCAGAAAAGACGGAAATGGTTGCTTACATTGAAGGGTTTTGTTATGTTATTGTCAGGAATAGGAGGAAATGGAAGCTTACATTGAAGGGTTTTGGGATATCATTGTCAGGAATAGACGGAAATGGAAGCTTACATTGAAGGGTTTTGTTATGATATTGTCAGGAATAGGAGGAAATGGAAGCTTACATTGAAGGGTTTTGTTATGATATTGTCAGGAATAGGAGGAAATGGAAGCTTACATTGAAGGGTTTTGTTATGATATTGTCAGGAATAGGAGGAAATGGAAGCTTACATTGAAGGGTTTTGTTATGTTATTGTCAGGAATAGAAGGAAATGGTACATGTAGCTTACATTGGAGGGTTTTGTGATGTTTTTGTCAGGAAGGAAATGGTAACTTACATTGAAGGGTTTTGTGATGTTATTGTCAATGGTAACTTACATTGAAGGGTTTTTTGATGTTATTGTCAGGAGGAGAAGGACATGGTAGCTTCCATTGGAGGGTTTTGTGGTGTTATTGTCAGGAATAGAAGGAAATGGTAACTTACATTGAAGGGTTTTGTGATGTTATTGTCAATGGTAACTTACATTGAAGGGTTTTTTGATGTTATTGTCAGGAGTAGCATTGTCAGGAATAGAAGGAAATGGTAGCTTATATTGAAGGGTTTTGGGATATCATTGTCAGGAATAGACGGAAATGGAAGCTTTCATTGAAGGGTTTTGGGATATCATTGTCAGGAATAGACGGAAATGGAAGCTTACATTGAAGGGTTTTGGGATATCATTGTCAGAAAAGACGGAAATGGTTGCTTACATTGAAGGGTTTTGTTATGTTATTGTCAGGAATAGGAGGAAATGGAAGCTTACATTGAAGGGTTTTGTTATGTTATTGTCAGGAATAGAAGGAAATGGTACATGTAGCTTACATTGGAGGGTTTTGTGATGTTTTTGTAAGGAAGGAAATAGTAACTTACATTGAAGGGTTTTTTGATGTTATTGTCAGGAGTAGAAGTACATGGTAGCTTCCATTGGAGGGTTTTGTGTTGTTATTGTCAGGAATAGAGAAGGAAATGGTAGCTTACATTGAAGGGTTTTGAAATGTTATTGTCAGGAATAGAAGGAAATGGTAGCTTACATTGGAGGAATTTGTGATATTATTGTCAGGAATAGAAGGAAATGGTAGCTTACATGGAAGGGTTTTGTGGTGTTATTGTCAGGAATAGAAGGAATTGGTAACTTACATTGAAGGGTTTTGTGATGTTATTGTCAGGAATAGAAGGACATGGTAGCTTCCATTGAAGGGTTTTGTGATGTTATTGTTAAAAATAAAAGGAAATGGTAGCTTACATTGAAGGGTTTTGTGATGTTATTGTCAGGAATAGAAGGAAATGGTAGCTTACATTGGAGGGTTTTGTGATGTTATTGTTAAGAATAGAAGGAAATGGTAGCTTACATTTAAGGATTTTGTGATTTTATTGTCAGGAATTGAAGGAAATGGTAGCTTACATTGAAGGGTTTTGTGATGTTATTGTCAGGAATAGAAGGAAATGGTAGGGTATATTGAAGATGTTTTCTTTCCTTGAACATGGTACATCTGTCTTCGTACTTTACGCGGGTATTCGACTTTCACCCCTTTTATTAGCTCACCTGGTCCGAAGGACCAAGATGAGCGTATGCCATACCGTTGCGTCCGTCCGTTCTTCGTCTGTCCGTCAACAATTTCTTTAAACGACATCTTCTTCTTAACCACTGATTGGAATTTAACTAAATTTGACTGGAAGCATCCCTAGGTGGTCGGGATTAAAAATTGTACAAATGGTGGAGCTGACCCCCCCCCCCCCCCCCATGAGGCTGAGGGACGGGGAAAAAAGGGGGCAATTTGGTTAAATTGCTTTAAGCGACTTCTTCTTTGGACTAAGAGATGGATATCATACAACTTGTGAAAAAAAAAGATGGATATCAACCATATTTGACTGAAAGCAATCCTAGGTGGTGGAGATTCAAAATGTACAAATGGTTGGGCTGACCCCCAGGGGCCTGAGGGGCGGGGCCAAAAAGGGGTAATTTGGCTATATTTCTACAAACGACTTCTTCCGTCGAACTATGCACTGGATATCGATAATATTTAATCAAAAGCATTCATTGGATGCAGGGATTCAAAATTGTACAAATGGTGCGGATGACCCCTCAGGGGGCTGAAGGGCGGGGCCAAAAAGGGTTATTTGGCTATCAGTGACATCGATGGTTGAGTTAGGAAATATCTCGCAAAACAGAGCCTAGAAACCCTCCAATTAGTTCGTTCTTGAAAAACTTGGAATATAATGCGGGGCGTATCCTGAGATGGCCAGTCTAGAAAGTAAGGCTGCATCGGATGTAATTCCTGTCGGAGGTAGTACCCAGCTGCTTCGTCCGGTACCAGTATTGTTCCAAAAACGTTGAGAAGTTTGACGAGACAATTCAATAGCTCTATGTCAAAACATGGTTATCAAAGAAACATCAGCTTTCTGTGTTGATGAGTGTTAGATGTGGGGCTATCTCGCGTGGCAGTTGAGGTATCGGAAAAGGCTACCCAGCTAAAAAGTGGGTACTGCACGGATTCTCCACCAACCATAACAACGAATTTTATGGCGTTGTTATACAATTTGAAAAGTAAAAGTTCTGGAGATGTTGAATGTGGTCCAAATATCATTCTTTTACAATAACTTTCTCTAGGTCGGTGGGTGATTTCCAGAATATCCAAAATCACACCCGTACAGTCCGAGGCCTAGGTCCCAACTGATGTTTCAAAGCATCACCATGTCGTCAAGTACATTAACAAATAAATGAACAGTAATTAGCTGGAGTGACAGCTGTCATTCATAGCAGTCGTCCTTTGATATTGGAGACCTTACCCGACCATGTAGGCCAATTAAGCTGTCCTGTGTCTGAGACTGAATACATTGTCCGACCTGGTAAGACCAGTTTATTCTGTTAAGTAATATCATTAAGTTAAAAGGTATATGGTTTACAGTGGACATAGTTAATGCATAAGTTAATCTGACAACAATGATTCAAACGAATTGTGAGTGACAGCTTCAAAGGAAAAGCTTTGTTAGAAAAACTTGTCTTAATCTACACAGTTTTAAGAGAGTCAATGTCATAAACAATTTACACAAAACAGTTCCGGTAAATCGAAATATCCCTCTGTGGAATAAATTCAATGAAAATGCAAAAGTTTGTAGTTTAAAATACGACGAATAACAAATAAAATGAGAAATTAAATTAAAGTTCGAATTCAGCCCTTTTTTCATAAAATTCTTTGTGGTATATCTATTACAATGTTGTAATACTATAGAACTCAATATATGCATCTATTACAATGATGATATATATAGGATCTTACATGTGTTTCCTTTTCATATGAGATTTATGAAACCTGTCTAAGAATGTTTCAATTTAGTGAGCCTCTGGCGAGCTAAAATGAAAACTTCGTGACGAGTTTCATATATTTCATTTGAAATGAAAACGAGTGTAAGACCCTTTTTATCACATAATCAAGATTTGTTGCATTTATTCATGTAAAGTGACAATTTTCATGAAACTTTAAAATGTAAACAGCCGCCATTTTTACTCCAGTGCGTAAGTCTGTGACGTCAAGTACTTGTCCTAGGCGTAACGTCACATTTGAAACAATTGAAACTTACAACCAATCACAGGGCTGATAGCTCATATTACATGGGTTAATACGGAAGAAAATATGACATGGGTATATTCACTGGATAACACTGTACATTATGTGATATAACAATTTACTAGAAATCTTTGTTTACTTGTTTTAGATCGTAAGGACGACGAGGAAAATCCGCCTGGATCTTCCGACTCCAAACACAAGAGAAAACACAAACATTCTCCAGTTATGGTGCGTAAGAAAAAGAAAACGGAAGCGCTGAAATCAGGCGGTCCACCAGAGAATCTCTTTCCGGAAATCACCTCGGCACTTCCTGCTGATGGGGCATGCGGCAGTGACGTTAATATTCTATCAGCTCTTATAGGTATGAAACGTATGGTTTGAAAGGAAAGTTAACCTGAATTTGTATTGTGTTCTTATAGAATGATATGTATTTACATTCTAAAACGAATTGCTGTCCTAGGGAGTAAACGACAAACCTGGTTGTATTTGTAATAGGGTATGGACAAATGTACGACCAGACCGGGGTTCGAACCCGGGACCATCCAAACTCTATACGGACGCTCTACCAATTGAGCTACCTGGTCGCCGACGATCGACCCAGTCCAGTTCCGCTACATTCCTTGCTCCTTTCTTTAAGTCTTCGCCTCTGTAGGCACACATATTTACAACTCATGTTCGGGTTACTACTTGCCAAGCGTACTCCATATGCTTGAAAGGGTTGACGCACGCTCTAACAGTTAACTACCTGATCGCCGACGATCGTCCAAATCCAGTCCCGCTACATATTAAACAAATGGACAACGGGTAGTCATAGAGAAAACGTTATTACTCGATTATCGAGTGCGACCTTCTTATGCTCATAACCGATAAATGTACCGTACTTTTGTATCTGTACATGTAGTAAGTTGTTTTCTTGCTTTATTGCAAATATTGAAGGCCAAATGCAAAGGGTACACTTAATTAAAAAAAAAACTTCACTCATGCTTGGCAATATGATTGTTTTACCTTACCAATGTTACATATCTAGTATTCAACATGATTAAATACTCTATCTCTTGTACTAGGGTAATAAATATAAATTGGATGGATCATAAGGACATTATTTTGTTATACAGATGGGGATGGCGATTCAACAGATTCAGAGTGTGCAATGGACCAGCCGACTCTCCTGGAACAATTAAAGATCATACTTGATAACTACCAAGACGCTCAAATCATTCGGGTAAGAGGCGACCTGAACTTATTGTTTTGTCACTTCTCTATCAAGTTAAAATGGATCAATACACTTCAAAATGAACAATGTTAACTGACTTATTCCTTAAAGATATATTCACTTGTTGCTTTGGTAAAATAATAACTGGCTATCTATATATCTGTTTTCTGGCCTTTATGTATATTCTATATCGCTCTGTATCCTTGTAATCCAAAGGATACGCTCTCTTCTTTGCTCAGCACCCCTGCCATAGAAGGCATGTGAATAAATATTTGAATGCTTTAAAATGTGATACCTCGGATCTGGTCAATTTCACCGCTATGCTGCCGAGCGATTATTTTGATGTGCATCGAAGTATCAAGCTAGCTCTATTGTATTATTTAAAAGGTGGCGAATACAGAGCCATCGATTTTGTCATAACGTATTCCAGGGTTGCTTAAAACTTAGAATCCCTTGGAATAACAAGGATGATCTGACTGGCAATTATCCTATAGCCAAACGTTTGCCATGGCTTCATTGTGTATCTGTTTGTCGTCCGTCGACATGTTTTCTATGAAATGCTACTTGGTGTGGAGTATCCTTAAGCCAAGGCAAAACTCTAACACGTTTAATGTCGTATTGCAACTAAGGGCGATTACCCTTACAAGTACGATGTATATCGAAAATAAGGGAAGTTACTCTTACATGTACAAGTACCAAGTACATTGTGAATAGTAAGTAAGGGCGATTACTCTTACATATACAAGTTCAATGTTTATCGTAAGTAAGGGCAGTTACTCTTACATATACAAGTATCATGTCGTAGGTAAGGGCATTAACTCTTACAAGTACCCTGATAGCGTACGTAAGGGAAGTTACTCTTACAAGTTAAATGTTAATCTGACCACGCTCGGCCATTTCCGTGGAATAACCTCAGAGGTAAGTAGAAGACATGTTAGGGCTACTGGATTTTGATCACTTAACATAAACAAAGATGGCAGCTTACTGCTGTGCGTCAGAGGAGACGGAGAATACATAGTTTAATGGTACCAGTGGAAAGAAGGCCTTTGACAATGACATTTCGGGGATGTTTTTATATGTCTTTAGATTCGATGTCAGCGTTGCCTCTCTAAATGTTTTTTTTAATATGCTTATTGTTAAACCACCCCCCCCCCCCCCCCCCCCCCCCTCCCCCACAACACACACTTTTTATATCTAAGTGAGAAATCTTTGATGAATAGTTTGTTTCTTGGATTTTTCAAAGCCTTCTTAATTTGAGATCTTCCGATAAACTGCGTCATTCGAGCAGTATCCATAAAATTACCTCCCAGAATCTTTTCGAGCATACGACGGAAAAGGGCGAAGTGATTTGATTGGTACTTCTCTTCTAGAAGTATTATGTTAATTATAGCTAAGGGAGGTTACTCTAACAACTATAAAGACTTATCGCAACAATTACAACCTGAGGTTATACAAACAAAAGAAGTCAGGAGAAAAACGTGGTTGCTTTCTATTACAGGAACTAGTTCAAAACGCAGATGACGCCAATGCCTCGGAGATGAAGATTGTGTATGTGAATGGTGACGTCGAGACATCACAAGGGAAAAGCTGTTATTCGGATTATTTCAGGGTAAATTTAGGCAGAAATGTATTTCATTTCACGATGAAAACAGTAAAGATGCTACATACTTACATTATAACAATTAAATCGTTCTTTGAAATTATCCTAAGATATCTTCATACGTATACGCCAACGAGTTAGCTCAACTCTAGTTATGGTTTTATTTATAACACAAAACATAAGTTACTATTCATATTTTAGCTCACCTGGCACGAAGTGCCAAGTGAGCCTATGCCGTGGTGCGGCGTCCGTCGCCCGTTCGTCGTCAATATTTTACTTTAAACGACTTCTTTTTAATAACCGAAAGGCCTAGGGAGATGATATTTGGCCAGAAGCAAACTGGTATGAAGTGCTACCAAGTTTGTTCAAATAAATGACCTTCATCTATTTTCATGGTCACAGGGGTCAAATATGTCAAAAACCTTTAAACAACTTCTTCTGAATAACAAAGAAGCCTAGGATAATGATATTTGGCCAGTAACATGCTGGGATAAAGGGCTACCAAGTTTGTTCAAACAAATGAATCTTACTTATATTCAAGGTCACAGGGTCAAATATGTTTAAAACCTTTAAACAACTTCTTCTCAATAACCAAGAGGCCTAGGATGATGCTATTTGACCAGTCGTATGCTGTAGTAGAGGACTACAGAGTTCGTTCAAATGAATGACCTTGACTTATATTCAAGGTCACAGGGGTCAAATATGTTTAAAACATTTAAACAACTTCTTCTGAATAACCAAAATTCCCAGGGTGATGATATTTGGCCAGTAGCATGCTGGGATGAAGGGCTACAAAGTTTGTTCAAATAAATGACCTTCAGAAATTTTGAGAGTCACAGAGGTCAATTGTCTTAAACAATCTTTAAACAACTTTTTCTTAATAATTTAGAGGCCTAGGATAATGATATTTAGGCAGTAACATGCTAGGATAAAGGGTTACTAAGTTTTGTTAAAATGAATTACCTTTACCTATATTCAAGGTCACAGGGGTCAAATATGTTTAAAGCCTTTAAATAACTTCTCCTGAATATCCCAGAGGAATAGGCTAATGACATTTGGCCAGTAACATGCTGGGATAAAGGGCTACCAAGTTTGTTCAAACAAATGACCTTTAACTATATTCAAGGTCACAGGGGTCAAATATGTTTAAAGCCTTTAAATAACTTCTCCTGAATATCCCAGAGGCATAGGCTAATGACATTTGGCCAGTAACATGCTGGGATAAAGGGCTACCAAGTTTGGTCAAACAAATGACCTTTACCTATATTCAAGGTCACAGGGGTCAAATATGTTTAAAACTTTTAAATAACTTCTTCTCAATAACCAAGAGGCCTAGGACGATGCTATTTGACCAGCAGCATGCTGTAATAGAGGGCTACTGAGCTAGTTCAAATGAATGTCCTTGACTTATATTCAAGGTCACAGGGGTCAAATATGTTTAAAACTTTTAAATATCTTCTTCTCAATAACCAAGAGGCCTAGGATGATGCTATTTGACCAGTAGCATGCTGTAATAGAGGGCTACTGAGCTAGTTCAAATGAATGACCTTGACTTATATTCAAGGTCACAGGGGTCAAATATGTTTAAAATCTTTAAACAACTTTTCTGAATAACCAAAAGGCCTTTGCCAGTATAATGCTGGGATGAAGGGCTACCAAGTTTGATCAAACAAATGACCATCTATTTTCAAGGGCACAGGGGTCAAATATGTTTAAAGCCTTTAAATAACTTCTCCTGAATATCCCAGAGGCATAGGCTAATGACATTTGGCCAGTAACATGCTGGGATGAAGGGCTACCAAGTTTATTCAAATGAGTTACCTTCATCTATTTTCAAGGTCACAGAGGTCAAATATGTTTAAAAACTTTAAACAACTTCTTCTCAATAACCAAAAGGCCTTGGATGATGATATATGGCCATTAACATGCTGGGATGAAGGGCTACCAAGTTTGTTCAAATGAATTACCTTTGCTCATATTCAAGGTCACAGGGATCAAATATGTTAAAATCTTTAAATGACTTGTTCTGAATATTCAAAAGGTCCAGGGTAATGATATTTAGCCAGAAATATGCCGGGACGTAAGCCTATAAACTTTCAAGGTTGCAGGCGTCATATGTTTAAATCATTTAATAGATTCAAATGGATCGAACACAGATATTTTGCCTGTAGCTGTATATTAGTCCACTTTAAAGATTACAAGTTTGCGATTAATACCAGGTGAGCGATGCAGGCCCATTGGGCCTCTTATTTTAATTGAAATACTATTTATATATTGTTCTGTAAATTTCCATTACGGTACTTCCAGGCTCCAGCGCTGTGTGTCTATAACAACGGGCTGTTTAGTAAACAGGACTGGAATTACATCAAAAGCATCTATAATAGTGGCAAGCGAGAAGACACTCTCAAAGTGGGCAGATTTGGTCTGGGATTCAAGTCGGTCTTCCACATCACAGGTAAGGACACTTCCACATCACAGGTAGGGGCACTTCCACATCACAGGTAGGGGCACTTCCACATCACAGGTACACTTCCACATCACAGGTAAGGACACTTCAACATCACAGGCACACTTCCACATCACAGGTACACTTCCATATCACAGGTAGGGACACTACCACATCACAGGTAGGGACACTTCCACATCACAGGTACACTTCCACATCACAGGTAGGGACACTTCCACATCACGGGTACACTTCCACATCACAGGTACACTTCCACATCACAGGTAGGTACACTTCCACATCACAGGTAGGGACACTTCCACATCACAGGTAGTGACACTTCCACATCACAGGTAGGGGCACTTCCACATCACAGGTAGGGACACTTCCACATCACAGGTGGAGACACTCCACATCACAGGTAGGGACACTTCCACATCACAGGTAGGGACACTTCCACATCACAGGTAGGGACACTTCCACATCACAGGTAGGGGCACTTCCACATCACAGGTAGGGGCACTTCCACATCACGTTCACTTGTAATGAAATATTCCTTTTTCAAGAAAGGTGAAAGACGACATGAATTTATGATTGCAAATTATTTCGTAATTTTTTAAGGTGTATATTTATGGTTGGGAGCAGAGGTAGGGGTGGGGGTTTTGGGGTGTATTTTTTTTGGGGGGGAGGGGGGGGGAAGGGGGTCAAGGAAATGACCATGCCTGAGAATGTAGATCTGTATTGCTTTATTGAGGTATGGTGATTGTATATACCGATCTGAACTTGAAAATAAGGACACTTTAAACATTTACGACATTTTACTTGCATAACTAGTTGGGACAAAGTAATACTAAGCTCTATAATAAACTTGTCAATTTTGAATATGAACTTTCTCTTTCTGGACAATGCCCGCTCCCTCCACATTGACATTTTCATAATCTCCTGTTGCATTTTGAAAGTGTCATCAGGTTAATTAATCTCTCAGGATTCTATAAAATATTTTAGCCTGACAAGCATGATACGTATACGTGGTCCGTCCTGAAACAGATCTGTTCAACGCTATTCCTTCATAAGGTACTTTCTCAAATTTCCTTTGACATTTCTCCTTGAGCTGTAGTTTAAAAATCATCTTGCAGTATACTTTGACCACTAGGTCAATTGTCAAATAATTGCATGATTTTCAGTAACATATAGTCATGGCAATAATTATAGAACCGTTTAAGACTAATTGATAAATTTTGCAATAGGCCTGCACCACCCACAGACAATGTGCAGTGTACTGTCATTAGGTCACTGTGACATTGACTTCAAGGTCAATGGTCAAGTAAGCGCAAACGTTTTAGTTGTACATTTTAAACTGTTGGATACTCTGATCTTCCGCGTCATAACTTTTCAATTGCAATAAATCATATACTTATTTTATGAGTTAATAGTCGGCTTACAAATGTTTAAGAAAAATTGAAATTTCACGGTTATTTTACATCATCTCCATAATTGTATTTTGCAAGAGAAGGGGAAATATATTCGCTATTAAGAAGAGACATGTATTCTTTCACAAAACGAATATCCAGATTCTTATTTGGTTTACATAAAACTTGAACGATTTTCATAATTTCACAATTTGAATATTTATTTCAATTTAATATGTTAACATTTCATATACTGTGTTTGGTTTCAGACAAGTGTATAATTACAAAAACATATTGCTTTGAGCACATGTTTGTGCAATGCAAACAATGATTTTAAAAATTTGATTTTGGACCAGGAAGGAATTCTGTTAATTATTGTTTTGAAAAGTTGTGTGTGTATGTTTTTATTACAGATAATCCAGTGATTATTAGTAATGACCGAGCAATGATCATTGATCCTTTCCGGACACAAAAAGGACATGGTAACGATTGCCAGGTTTTGACCTTCAAGAAACTTCGGAAATCTTTAAAAACACATTACAAACAGGCTATTGAAGCGATGAAGTCTGTTTATGGACATTTCGGATTTACAAACAAATCTCTGGAGGACACTTACTCAGGGAGTATCTTTTGGTTTTCCTTGCGCCGCTTGCCCTCAGAGTTGTCGACCAGAGTCTTTGACCATAATGATGTCACAGAGCTGATAGACAGTTTCAAGAAAGAGGCCGCTACTTTGCCACTTTTTCTTAAGAACATCGGTCTGGTTTCGTTTTCTGACCAAGAAAAGGAATCCGCATCATTCTCAGTAAAATGCGATGTGTTAGAAAAAGAGGAAAAGAAATCATTTAACAGGAAATTGAAGGCATGTAACGGTGTAAGTCCCAATGACAGTATGAAAGCAATATTTCGTGTCGACATTTCTCTTAAGGACGATCAACATGTAAATGAACAACGCTGGGTTGTTTGTAATTATATAAAAGGCCGAAGCGATCTTTCCGTAAAGCTCAGAGAATTGGCCGAGGACAAACAACTGTCGTATAGTCCTTTCGTAGGACTTGCAACACCAGTCGAAGACACTACGGGTATACAATTTCATGGACAAGTGTTTTGTTTTCTTCCTCTCCCAAATACGAGTGAAAATCAAACGGGGCTGCCTCTGCATGTCAATGGTTTTTTTGCCCTCAGTCAAGACAGACATCACGTAAAATGGCCACCAGATGACCAAACTGACCGAATGGACCCGCCTCAGAAATGGAACCGCTTACTATGTGAAGAAGTACTTGTAGAAGCGTACGTCGATACGGTGGAATACGTCAAGGGCCTCACTGTTAAAGACAATTGTACGGATTGCGATACCAACATTGTATATAGCATACTTCCGTCACAGAAAACCATTCGACCAAATTGGGATGCGGTTTTTAATCCCTTGTGCAACCGCCTCAAGGACAAGACCATTTTTTATACCAATAATGGCGGCAAATGGATAAAAGCAAAAGACGCAATCTTTTCAATTTTACAATTTATTGAAGACGAACTTGAACCAAGCACCATCCTACAGACGGAACAGTGTATATTTGATCTTTTACTCAAGTACCAACGTAATGTTGTGAAGGTTCCCTCTCACGTGGCGGAAATGTTTCCTGAAGTGCCTAAAATCACACCGAAGTATTTGAGAAATGTTCTAAGAGAAAGTAATATCTACGGTAGACTTCCAGTCAAACAACAAATGTTGTTGTTACAGTTTATTCTAGCAGACCGACAGTATGCTGACCTTCGTGACCTGATGCTGCTTCCTCTCGAGGACGATACCTTCAGATCATTTGACGCTGAACAGCCTGTGTACCGTTGTACGGCAAGTGAGATGAAGATGTTTCCTGGGACAGAAAGGAACTTCATCAAATCAGACTTACCGCAACAAACAGCTGATCATCTGAAAGAAATTCAGAAAGCAGGTTCGTTATTGAGTCACTATGTTTAGTACTGATGTTGTTTGGAAATTGATTTGAGAATTTTGCAAAAACGGGTATGCTGGTATATTCCTTCAGCACGTGAAAATGTATGACTCTTTGACAGCATGCTTAAGGATGTTCTCTTCTAAGGTTTAAATCACGTTAAAACCTCGTTTCGATTTAGTGTACATGTAACAGGAGTATACTAAATTAAACAAATTATGATCAATATTAAAAGAAACATCCATCTGAAAAGTTTGTGAACAAAATAGATATCTATTGTATTTATTTTTACAAATATAAAACAGTTAACAATTGGAGGTTTCTGTCGCTTCTTACCAAGTCAAAATTTCACATTTTTTACACTTTCTTTATAACTAAAATTGTCAATGCGACGCCGTTTTAAATTGTTACACGTTGGTTATGGCACTTTCTTTCAAATCCATCAGACCTTTTTATACTTTTATAGTAATTGAATCAGCGAAAACTGGTGAAAAATTAATATTATTTTGATTTAAAAATAAGCGGTAGGGCTAACCATTACTGCTTTTCTGAGATCAGAATGTAATTTTAAGTCTTTTTACTTGCATAATTCAGAAGAAACCCTTTTATAACTAATACATGTACCCGTATACATCGTATATAACACTGGGCTACATTAATAGCATACTTGGAGGATATCGTATGAATTTGTTCTTGCAATCAAACTGATTTATTTCACCAAAATCACATACTTCGTTATATTTGTAGTGCAGTTTTTGTAGTGTTTGGTTTTTATCAACCTTTTTAGAATAAAATGTGAAGTAGTTTATGTTTCCATCACTCTGTAGGTTTCTGCAACCTGAGGACTCTGGACGCAGACGGATTTCCTACCTTACTTAACGAGACATTGACTGCAAATGGAGATATTGGAGCCAACGGATGCTTTAGTTCTACCACCAGCCACATTACAATGGAATGGCTCGACCACGTCTGGAGCTATATCGGTCAGAAAAAGTATCAAGTCCTGGAAACTTTTGAAAAGTTGAATTTGGTTCCTGTAGATGATAACTCTATTTTAGGTGAAGGATTGAAACTCATGCCATTAAAGGGGTTGTATTTGGTGACGGATTTCGATGGAATGGCTTCGCTTGATCAGAATCTGTGTAACGCTTTAGAAAGGCTACCAATTACTGTCATCAGACATATTGCCAAAGGTGAAACACTTACGTATCTAATGGGTACCTATTGCAAGTATCCAAATCTCGAAGGACTGCTTGAACTTTTAGAAAGTCTGTGTAAAGTCCCTATAAGACAAGAGTTACTCGAGGAAATGACACGACGGTTCAACGACCAATGCAATTCCGAAGAAAAAACAGCTTTGCTGAACTTTCTTGCAAAAGATTGTCAACATTCTAATTCAAATGCTGATAGTTTTATCAGAGAATTGGCTATTTTTCCAGAAACGACAAACGAAAACAACGTTTTAGAGTTTACATCTGTAGCAAAGAACGGACACATAGCGTGTGAAAACAGCATCCCAGTTAAATATCATTTACCTCACTTGCATTTGGATAACATACAGAGGATGCTTGCTAAACGACTAGGAGCAAAGGAAATTTCAGAGACGAAGCTAGTTGAAAATATCCTTCAAGCCATGACCAACACTCCTGGCATCTATGAAAGATCAAGCATTGAAACTTTCATGATGTATGTACTTAGGTACTGTACAAGGCTGTCCTCAAGTGAAGATTTGAATGATATCATCTTTTTAGGTTCGGGGATCAAATTCATTGCAACTTCGTCTTCATCGAGCACAACAGAGCTAGCACCGATCCGGGCATTCTTTGATCATACTAATCAAGTACTTAAGGAGTTGTTTCGTTTTGACGACAGCAAGTTTCTCATTAAAAAATATCAGAAGGAGGAATTAGAGTCTGTACTTAGAAACTTTGGTCTCAAATCCGATAAGGACGTTAAAGAAGACGATGTTTTAAATGTGGTACGAGTACTTGATCGAGAGTGCCGAAAAGGGAAACAGGCGCAAATGGAGGAAATTCGTCATTGTTCATTTAAAGTAATGGAAATACTGGAGAGGATGGAAAGGGAATCCACTGTAAATTTGGATTTAAGGGAATATCGATGGATATCTTTCATCGACGAGAAACCAGTTCATTATCCGGATATACTACCTTGGTGTGCGGATCATTGCCAGTCTCCTCTATGTACCCCGCAAGATGTATCCTCGAGTAAACACGAGACGCAGGCGGCATCTGTTAAATGTATCGTGGACACCTCTAGCTGTCCTTGCCTTGCAAACAAATACGGATGGAATAAACCTCCAGATGCTGACACATGTCTTCTTCAATTGGAAGCGGTGAGAAACGTCTTCTGTATTAAACACAAAGCCAAGTTGAATGGTATTTTAAAAGACATATACCAACAACTGTTTGATGATATCAATTCATTGGATCATGAACTGGAATCACAGCCGATCATTTGTACAGGAGCGACTTTTCATCTTCCTAGAGATGTGTTTATATCTTTTCCCTTGGACGAGAACATCCATCTGGAGCCTTATATGTACAAACTTCCTGTTGAATTTGAGGAGTTCTCTAAAATGTTTGTTGAACTAGGGTCAGTTCAAGAACTTGAAATAAATTCATTGAAGTTAATCCTTACAACAATTAGGACATCAACTAGGCCGTCAACGACCGAGAAAGATAGACAGATGGTTGTTAAAATTCTTAAAATAATATCAAATCTACGAGATGCAAATGATATTCTGAGTGATGTATTAGTACCTGTCCAATCACAGAATGCCAATCTGGTATTACAGCCGGTAAAAGATTGTACGTACTCCGACGAGGATTCAGGCTGGTTACAAAATGAAGAGGATGATGACGTCAATTATGTCCATTCCGATGTTGGTGCTAAATTAGCGGAATCGCTGGGCGTTCAGTCTTTCACTCAGAGATTTTTATCAGACGGTGGAACAGAAGAAATGACTGTAGCATGTGGACAGTCTGAACCTCTGACGACAAGACTTAAACATTTGTTGGAAAACTACCCAGATGGATTAGCAGTGCTGAAGGAACTTGTTCAGAACGCAGACGATGCCGGAGCTAAACATATTCATTTTCTATATGACGAAAGACAGAATAAAGAGGCGACAGTAGGCTTAATCGACGTTAACATGGCAAAATGCCAGGGTCCAGCGTTTTGGGCTTTCAACGATGCTGTTTTTACCGAACATGACTTTGAAAACATTGTCAAACTTGGAGGGGAAACCAAAAAAGCAACGAGAACCAAAATTGGAAAATTCGGGCTTGGATTTTGCGCCGTTTACAATATAACAGATGTTCCCAGTTTTGTAAGTGGAAATTCTCTGGTAATCTTTGATCCTCATACTACTCATCTAGGGAAAGCCATCAAGAACAAAAGCAGCCCAGGAATTCGGTTGACCATTACAGAAAAAAGTTCTGGTATGCTAAAGCGAATGAGGAACCAGTTCATGCCATACAACAACATATTTGGATGTGATTTGTCTGGAGACACTAAACCTCTCAAGTTTGAAGGAACGCTTTTTCGATTTCCATTAAGAACAAAGCAACAGGCAATAGACGGTGAAATAAGAAGTACTCCTTATCGCAAAGATGACATGGTACAACTTCTCCATCTTCTTAAAAACTGTGCAGGGGATTTGTTGACATTTACACAGAACTTAAAGGATATCAAAGTATCTCATCTGCAAGAGGACAGCGTTAACCTACCGAATGATATTCAGCTCATGTTTAGCGTTGAAAAAAAAAAGATTAAAATGCATCATATGTTGAACAACCCAGCAAACATCAATGTCATGACGGAAGCCGAAAATGTTTTGAGAACAAAACAACCATTTACAAAAACTGAAATGATATCACTTAATATGTATACTTTAAAAAATGAACTCCTGAAAGTCGAGGAAACCTGCTTAACGTCTTCTCCCTGGTTAGTGTCTTGGGCTTCAGGAACTAATCAGGATGTTCTGGAAAAAGCGATCCAGCTGCAAAATGATGGGGCCTTACCACTTGGTAGTGTTGCAGTTTCTTTAAAAAGTATAAAATCACCATTGGTCCCAGTGCCATTCCCGCATAAAGAAAAGCTGCGTGGATTATACGACAAGAGTCACATTTTCTGTTTCCTTCCTTTGCCCGTCGAATGCAAACTTCCAGTGCATATAAATGGATGTTTTGCTGTCAGCAGTGATCGGAAAGGCTTAGTTAAGAGCACAAGTGACGAAAAAAGCGAAACAGAGAATCAAGTCTGGAATAGAATGCTTATGTCTGATGCAGTATGCAAAGCGAACCTATGTTTATTGACAAGTCTGGAGCATTTCGAAATGTCTTCAGACGAAATTTATTCAACACTTTGGCCTTTTACTGTGGATCAGTCAGATGAAACATCATGTTTGTCAGATGCGTTCTGTAAAGCCGTTGTTCATGGAGATTACCGCGTGTTTTATACGCCACAAGGACGTCGCGCTTCATTCAGTGAATCCGTTTTTCTTGACATTACATTGCGTTATGACAACGTTGTTGGGGAATATGCTTTCGAAACTTTTACAAATTTGTATAAAGATGAAAGAGTTCCTATGGATATGCCTCAAGCGTTACATCGTCAATTTTGTACAGCTGATTGTGAAGAGGATCTTGTGCAACAAACAATGACCATGAAAGAATTTTATGAGGATATTGTCTTCCCTCACATTCAGCAAATCGATGCAGAAAAACGAGATGCACTGGTGATGCACATATTGAACACCGATGACCATTCTCTGCAAAATTTACTGAAATCAAATCCATGTATTCCTGTTCTACCAAATGGTAGATTGAGACTACCGAGGGACCTCGTACGACCACGGTCAGAAGTATCGGAGCTTTTCTGTGACGAAGACGGTCGATTTCCTAACGACGCCAACCAGTTCTTTTGTAGCGAGATAAACCTGAATTTCCTTGTGCAATTGGGTATGATGGATCGAGCGTTGCCGGACGAGCTTGTTGTGGAGAGAGCCCAATCTATTTCCAAATTGCTTGAGCTTAAACCGGCGTTTCATCGTTGCCGAAGGTTGCTAGCCTACCTTGAACGAGAACAAGATAATTGTGGAAATGATGTCATACATGATTTAAGTACAACGGCCTTCTTACCTGTTCTTCAGAAGCCTGGCGATTGGCCGGTGACCTGGTTTTCAAATGCAGATGAAACTGGGATGTTTTCTCCACCGAATCAAATGTTCTTTCCAGAGCACATGGAACGAATTGCGTGTTCACATTTTATAGTTAATGTTGAAGAACTAAAAAATGAGTTTGATGTTCTGATGATTCTTAAAAGACTAGGTGTGCAACATGAGGAGCTACATGAAGACGTTGAGAAACAACTTGTTGAAATTGGTAAAGTCGATGAACACATATCTGAGAAGCAGAAACTACGATTGCAAGAAATATGCATGTCTGTATACAGGTACTTGGACAGCTCATCAGAAAACCTGACTGGAACTTACGATGACCTTCCCATACTGTGGATATCTGATCAATTGATTCCTCCAAAGTGTGCCACTCTTGAGACGTTTTCTAGAATTGACTGCACACCTGAAATATATCAGGTCGTTTCACCTGATGTAACAAGATACGGAACATTTCTTAAACGCGTTGGTGTCAAAAAAAACCTTTGGAAAGAAAATGTTATTTTAGCACTGGAACGTGTGGAAATTGACCGCGATAAACCTCTAGAACTGGAGAAAGTTATACTGATAGTGAATCTATTACAGCTTCTAGCTGAAGTTTGTAGCCGACGTGGACTTCCTTTACAATCTGACGAAAAAGCTCGTATCCTTGTTCCAGATGATATAAACATTTTGCGATCATTAGACGAAGTATGTGTTGATGATGAGTTTCCCATGCCGAGACAAAAATACATGTATTTTGTCAACTCAAAAGTATCGGGAGAAATCAACAAGCTACTTGACATAAAGTCAAAGCGAGTAAAGCACCTAAATACTATCAAAGGCAGTTTGCCATTCGGACAGAAAGAGGAACTAGTGACGAGGCTGAAAGGAATCCTCGATGAATATCCTCGGGATGAAACAATTTTATACGAACTGTTGCAGAATGCAGATGACGCAGGGGCGAAAGAAATCATGTTCATTGAGGACAAGAGGCAACATAAAACTAAGGAAGGCATATTTGGTGAGAGTTGGTCTGACATTCAAGGACCGGCGTTATGTGTTTTCAATGACTCATGTTTTTCTGCTGCAGATCTAGAAGGCATTTGCATGCTTGGTAAAGGAACGAAATCACAAGACCCAACAAAAACTGGGCAGTTTGGTATTGGCTTTAATGCGGTTTATCACTTGACAGACGCACCTTCTTTTATAACAAGAGGTCCATCTACACCAAATCAAGGAACATTTTGTGCCTTTGACCCGCATTGTACATTCTGTCCAGCTGCTGATGATTTTAATCCAGGACTACAACTTCCTGATTTGACGGTACTCGAGGAGACATACCCAGGTGTATATGAATGCTATTTACAGGCGGAGTTACCTAGGGTACAGGGTACTTGGTTTCGATTTCCATTACGAACCTCGAAAATGGCAGAAATGTCTCATGTATGTAAAAGAACAATGGGAAAAGAATCACTACGAAGATTACTCTGCCGATTCCAACAAAATATGAAAAAGTGTCTTTTGTTTCTGAGAAATGTCAGACAAATTTCATTATGTGAAATAGATCCCCAAGGTAAACTTAAAGAAAATCATACAGTAGTGTCAACGCTGGAAGAAAACGATGAGCATCACCTGAAGAGGTTTTTCAACAAATGTGACACACTAACAAAAGAATTGTTTACTGTATCAACGAATCTGCTTGAAATCCCCAAACAAACAATTCAATACATCATGACCATAAAAGAAGATTTACGTCAACCTGAACGTTGGATTATAGCTCAGACGTTTGGATTAGACGCCGATACGAAGGTCCCAGACAGTGTAAAAGAAGCTTTGGAATGCAGGGAAATAAATCTCACGCCAAAAGGTGCAGTAGCTCTACCGTGCACACCAGGGGGTATGGACAGTCGATATGAATGTGCGCAACGAGAAATGTCCAAACATTACGACGATACTTCCATATCATACTATCGTGAAAGTATAAACAAACCAAATATTCCTGACCAACTTGCTTTTTCTACGTCATCCATTGAGATGTTACGCGACAGCAAGGACTCGGATTCTAAAGGTCAAGTTTTCTGCTTTCTTCCTCTCCCTTTGAAAACTGGACTTCCCGTACACATAAATGGTCATTTTGCTCTACATCAAACACGTGGAGCAATGTGGGATACTGAATCACCTAGAGGTTACTGGAACAGTTTGCTATTAGAAACAACTATATCAAACAGCTATGTCTTAGCTATCGAATACCTACGCGATACGTTCTCCAGTAATACCGTGGACGGACAAATTGCGAACATCGAAGGCATTAAAACTTTCTTGAATATGTATCACGACTCGTTTCCGCGATACAATCAAGGGAAGTTTGATCTGATAAAAAACATGGTTTCATCGTTCTTTGCTATACTGTATGATAGTGAGTCTACTATTTTCCCGGTACTTTCACCGAAAGCAAAGTCAATATGGTGGGTCGGTCTCAAACAGAAAGAACATGCATTTCCTGCCTTTTTCAATAATCTACCGGATCAGTTTTGGACTGGGGCACAAATGGCCATAAAGGAACAAAGACAATATTATGGACGGCAACTTAATGACGGAGAAGAAACTAAGCGCCTACAACAAGCTGAAAATGATGCCCACCAACTCTCATACATCCTAAAAAATATTGGCGTGAAGATTACTGAATCGCCACTCTGGATCAACGAGAGTATTAAAGAGGCATTTCAGAACCTGCCAAAGTTGCGCATTCAATGTGCTATGACCCGAAATGTTTTTGAAGAAGACCTACACATGCTCGATCATACTTTTGTCCTTCGTTTCTTAAGAACGGTAAATGAAACTACACCAGATGTTTGCCTCGTAAAAGATGTAGATCGAGACCTTACGGACACGCGAATCAAAAACATAGAAAACATGCTCTGTCTTCTACTGTATTGTCTCAAAGATAAACAAGTGTTCATCCAAAACATGGAACAATTACCCTTACTGGTAACTAATGACCGCATGCTAAGGCGTTTTTCCACAACAAGCCCTGTATTTTTATCTCAATTTTGTGATCTATTGCAAGCATCGTCAAAGGAATTCGTGCACAGGAAGATGGTCAACGTTCTAAAGCGGCTCCAACCGCTCAATCTGTTTTTAAAATGTTTAGACTTAAGCAGTTTTGCAAGAATGTTACCAGATAATGTTAATATGGCTTCACTGTCAGGAGAGGAACCAATTCCATGGAATCAGAACATTTTAAGTTTGGAATGGATGAAGGAGTTCTGGCAATATTTGGACACGTTGCAGCAAGTAAATATCCTGATATTGAAAAATTGGTGTGTTATTCCCGGAGAGTTGAAAACGACCAGTCAAAATGGTAATAATTCTGAAATTTTAGTACCCTGTCATAAAGGCTTCATTCTGATGGACAGCAGTACCTCTATGAAAAAAGAGCCCCTGCAATTCATACCTACCTCACTAAAAATACCTTCGCCACATGGAAGTATCTCTTCAAAAGCATTACAGCATGCTGTTGCTTCACAACATTATCCTGTGCGGGTAGTGGAATGCCTCAATTATCACCAGGATAACTTGAGATTGTTTCTAAATCCAAATGAATGTGATGTGATACTACAGTACTTATCGCATCCGGATAATCTTCTGATGCTGAAAGAGCATCCAGCCACGAGGGATCAAATAAAGAACCTCTTCTTGTTTAGGACTGTCAACGGAAGCGTCGTAAGAATCCTAGCATGTACAGATATTTACAATGTCAAAAATCATGCTAATCTTCTGAAAGATGGACTTGACGTTTGGTCAAACAAACTCAAATTTACTCTGTTGAGGGACAATTTTTTTACTAAAGATTTGATGCTTTATTTGGATTGTACTCGTCCTATTTCAGTTACTGAATTGTACTGCAAGCTGCTTTTGCCAAATTTCCACCATCTTGAAAGAAAACATCATCTGCCTCATCTTGAACGTGTCCGAAGTATGCTGATGGATAAACCAAGTTGTCCTTTAAAAGCAGCATTGCGTTTGTCAGCATTCATTTTCCATGAAGGAGTATTCAAAAAAGCAAACCATTTTTACAGCCCACACAACAGTTTCTGTAAGAAACTCTGTGACCAGTCCATGTTGCCACCTGAACCATTTGGAAAGTTTGCATGGAAGAAATTTATGATATATGCTGGTATGAATGAAACGGTTTCGGAGGATCTATACTGTCAGCTTGCTGAAGGCATAGAACGCTCTGCACAAAATACTGAGATAACGACAGAGATCAGAGAGAAATCTAAAGCGATGGTCATGTACTTGTTCAGTACAGACGAGCTTTCAAACAACACTCCACTGTTGAAGAGAATAAGGGATATTAGGTTCGTCGAACCCTACCATGTTTGCCAGGAATACCAAAGCATATACCCTCAGTTCGAGGGCCAGAGCTTGATACATTTCTGTGGGTCTGTATATCACTCTCTGGCTCCATTGGTATGGACCACGATATCTATTCTACCGGAGTATGTTTCTCCGTGTAGAAACAGAAACCAGATCCAGGAAGGATTAGGAATCCTACATACTCCGCCCATTTGTAATGTGCTATCTCATACCCACAATGTGTGCGATACACTCAACAGGAGATTACATGAACAGAAAACAAACACGGAACCTAGAGGTAATTACCTTTCTGAATTTAATATCACAAAATTGATGGAAAAATTATATGCATATTTACAAAACAAATACATTTATACTTCTGAAACCAAACAAATGCTTTCGGAAACACCGCTCGTACATTTGAAGGAAATGGGAATATTTGTCACCGCAAGACAAGTATCTATCACATTTTGCGGAAAGAAACAGATACCGCCATATCTGGTTGAGATTCCTCTGCATTATGGACCTTACAAAAAACTATTTAAAGTCGTTGGAACAACAGAATCCGTTACACTAGGTCAGTACTCCGATGTACTCTATCGTATTCAGGCCGAAGTAAAATCAGCGATCCTGGGACCTGAGCGGATACATGACGTCTTATCTGCTCTGACAGGATTTATGATGCTGCTAGAGGAAGCAAGCTTGTCAAGTATTGAAGAGTCTATGGCCTCAGTTGAGACTTTGTATTTACCTGCCTCGGACAAAAGTTTAGCAAAATCAACTGACTTAGTGTATGCTGATAAACAAAAGCTGAAAAAAAGAGTAACCCAAGGAAGTGATCATCGGATAGTGTTCATGCACAGTTTGAAGGACTGTAACAAAACTGAAGACCTCATCTTGAAACTACCGGTGAGAATAAAACCAAAAGGATTGAGCTCCATCATACAGGAGCATCTCATATCCGTTTCTAATAATGAACCGGATGCAAAGGTAGACGATTTGCGAGTATATCTGGCGTCTCAGAGGTTTTTGAACGCACTTAAACATATAGGCAAATTCGAGGACTTCGACTGCTGTAGACAACGGTTGTTGAGCATCTGTTTTGTTTCTCCGTCTGAAATTAAAACGATATTGCACGTGGATGGTAGACCTATTCGAGGTACAGAAGGTACTCAGGAGTGTTTTTACTCTGAGGGCGAACGAAAATGCTATATTGCAGCAAGTACCCTTCAAGTTCGAAACTGGCTGAAGAAAATTGGACAGCAACTCTGTGGAATGCTTTCGGATTGTTTTGAAAAACGAATTTCCCCGGAGAAATTTCGAGAGCTGATTGATTACGTTGACGACCCGACAGGATTTAAATCCTATTGTGAAGAACTTTTAGACGAGGAAGAAAACGATGACGACTCATTGTCATATCATCCGGGCCAAATAGTACCTGTTGGCCTGCATGCTTTACTACAGAATGACATCACTCTTCTAAAGGTTGGAGATGTAGTTGCCTATGAAATGTTTGACCCAGCTATCGATGGTGACAACGATGATGTGATATCTAAGGACGCAGCGTCTGATGCCGTTTATGTTTTTGTGAGAATCGTGCAGGAACAACCACTAGCTGGTCAACATGCGTTACATCAGAAATACAAAGTGAATTTCGGTCAGGACAACGAAAAGACAGTTTCGGGACTGCTTTTATACAAGGTCATTTATCCGGAATCATCCAAAACAACCGAATTAGTACTTCATCTATTTGGAAACGATGGATCTATACTTTGTAATAAAGACGGCATATTTGACCAAATTATTTTCACTTTGTCGAACGCTTGGAAACTAGATGATAAAGATGATAGGAAACGGGTCGTTAAAAGATTGCTTTTGGTGTGGCATCCTGACAAAAACCGCAATAGAGGTGATGAATATGAAAATTTTTGCAAGGAAGTTACTCAATTTATTTTTGATATCATCAGACGTCTTGAAAACGGTGAATGTTTTGACAGTAAGACCCCCGATGAATCGGACGGAGGCAACAGAAGACGCAGAAGGAGATGGAACTACGATAACTGGCAATATGGCGACGGTTGTTCCAATTTTTGGCAGAATTTTAGGGACCGGATGTCATCGAGGCATACAAAAAACCAGAGCAACTTCAGGCATTTCTATGCACAAAGGAAGGAATATGTTCCTGATCCGCAACCTGCAGAGGCACGGAGGTGGTTTCGGCAAGCCAGTATGGATTACTTAAGTGGAGTGAACTCTTTAAAAGCTAGCGATTCCACAGATAGTGATAATAAGACCAAGGAAGACTGTAACTGGATTTGCTTCAAATTCCATCAAGTAAGATGATATTTTCATTTTTTTACCACTTCTCTGTAGTCTGTTTGATACAAATGTGAATGAAATCTATTATTAATCTTAATAAAAATAAATCTTTTCTGAAACAGTCTGAAGAAGGTGATTATTTACACGATAATAAGTCTGTCTTCTATTGTACTCGTATATATGTCATGATGTCTGATTTTTTTTTTATGTAAATACATTGCAAAAGATTGAAATAAAAGTAAATGTGTGTGTCAGGATACACATGTTCATTCAGATAAAACAACAAAAAAACATAATGTTTTCTTGTTCAAATAACCATATGAACTTTATTGTACATAATAAATAAATAGCAATTTATTGCGTCTGTCTACTTACAAAACTTACTTCAATGTTTTAGATATCTCATTGGGTAAAACTTTACATAGGGAATCAGTTAAATTGTGTTTGCTTATCTATTTCCAGGCTTGTGAGAAGGCCTGCAAAGCTTACATGTACTCTGTCGACGCAAAGAAAGTGACCAAATGCCACTACTTGCCAAACATCCTTCCTTACGGCGACGAGCTCGAAGGTTTGTTAAGAGAAATAGAAATTCTCGTCGGCAGTTACTCAAAAATGCGTTACCCGGACGTGATGGAGTACCCTAATATACCAGGAGCACTGTACACAAAAGATCAGGCTAATAAAATCATGGAATTAGCTGAAAAAGTGATGGAAGGGATAGAAAACCGATTATAGACACTCCAATATCCCTACTGAATAAATCATGTGTAAAATCGCGTTCAGTTTGGCAAGTTTTCATAATTAACTTTGCAATTTGTGATTGAAATCAATGGAAGAACGCCGTATATGAATGAATAAGAAATCACTGTTATCAAGATTTTGCAATTTTGAATATACTGAAGTTAGTAACATATTTGTTGGCATAACGTTTAATACGTTGATACCATTTGCCTTAAGCAGCATGAACAGTTATGCCATTCTGCAATACGAACAAATGATGCAATCGCTTTATAGTTTACAATGTAAATAATACAAATAACTTATCTGTATATCATGTCCCTATTATAGTGTAGATAGTTTTATTTATTAAACTAGTAGTCAAAGTATATTCTTGTCACAATAAGGACATTCCATAATGGTTACATATACATCTGAACTTTAAATGTTCTAGAGGGAGTTATCGTGTATATTTGTGTCTGTGGTTTTCTTTATCCTTTTACATATTATGAACAAAACTTGTTTATTTTCTAACCACTATTTGTTATTTTATAAGTCTGGTCTATAATGTCAGTAATATCAGAATACTCTTTAGTTAACTGCACTGATATATGATAAATGTATAATTTGTTGAGAAAACATGTTTTAAGAATCATCTATCATTGTATTATAAACTTTGTAGTTTGGCCTCACATTAACTAAATACTACATATAGAATTATTTCTTTAATGAAACGTGTTTCCGGAATAATTGTAATAATTTTTCTTAATTCCATTAAATGTTATTGCTTAACAATGTTTGATAAAGTGTAAATACTTACAGATTCACAAGGACATTTGACTTTTACATGTCCATTATCTAACAATTTGTTTCAGATACTAATCCTTTTCATATTTTTTGTGTATTTAGCGCCGATTATCTGTACAAAATGATTTTATTTTTTTAAGTAATTATATTTTGTTATTTTTTCCTGTGTAATATATAATTTAACAGTTTAAATAAGGTTTTCTTTTTTTCTGCTGTGACAAATACCATTTTGTGATTTTCACATTTATCCTACCAATCAATTACGACGTGAAAATAGCCATGTCATGTTACCACCGTCACCCCGTTAAACAGTAATCCCTGTATCACATGATCATATTTGCCTGGGATTGACACTATGTTCACGATAACCCATGTCTTTGCAAACAATGTGTTGGTGTCTCAATGAATACCAGTTATATTATTATTGTGGAATGAATATTTTACTTATTTTTTCACTTGTTCTATGCCCTCGAATAAAATATCAAACTATGCCCTCCACAGGTCAAGCATTGGTGTTATTCGTCATGAACGTTTAATGAATGTAATGTAATGCCTTATATAAATGGACACAAGATTGACTATAGATATGCATGCATTTTTTTAGAAATAACATTTTTTATTGTCCCTTTCATGGGAACTTAGTTATCAAGCGGAAACTACCATGTGTTGAACTGATATGTATAGTCTTCATTTACGGTGCTGGAAGTTCACCGTTGACGAATGTTTTGAATGGCGTAGCAACATCATGTTTGCTTCTGCATATTTGTGCTCTGATTTTGAAAATAGAAGTGGACATTTCTTCAACTTGAAAAGTTTCATTTCTAGTTTTGAATACATACATTTTGTATCTATTGTACAGTTTATGTTTTCATTTTGTATCTAGTTTGCTTTTTATGTTTTCACAAATGGTAATGATGATACTGTTAACCTAGTAGATTTAAGACTATATTTTGTATATATCTCAAAAATAGTTAGTGATGCAATTATCCTTATTTAACTTTTATATATACAGTAGTTACATGTCAAATTTATATAAATCATTATGAAAAACACGTCTGAAACCATGTGATAAACTTGTTTTATATTCATTTTAATATTGTCTGTAATAGAGCTTATTGATATGGAAACTGTTATCTTCACAAATATATTCTGTTGTAAATTGATTATGTCAATATTATTAATTTGTATACCTACTATTAATCAAAGCATATGCTTATCCAAACACATCATGTAACAGAAATTTCTTTATGTTCATGATGGAAAAATCATCTATCACACGAAGATCATGCCATGATGACGTCAGCTGATCAGGACGACAGTGTCAGATGTTGTGGATACAGTAATCTGTGTCATGTTGTAAATATACAATTTCAATTCTTTTCAAATTTATTATATCAAATAGTTTATTATTTTATATGTATATATTATTCAATTCCCTATAAAAATTCGTATACTAATTCATATATAGGTATCTTATGTTAGAAAATATATCCGTATACAATACTGTGAAATCTGTATTTAAAATTGAAAGAATTTGATCTTTGTTTAAAATAATTGAATGTTTTTAATAATATGGTGCTTTGTAATATGGGCGACATGGCCGTATGGTGCAGATGGTCGTATGGTGCAGTGTAATGTGGGCGACATGGTCGTATGGTGCAGATGGTCGTATGGTGCAGTGTAATGTGGGCGACATGGTCGTATGGTGCAGTGTAATGTGGGCGACATGGTCGTATGGTGCAGTGTAATGTGTAATTTGTTTGGCTTCTTGCATATATAATGAAAACTGTCTAATACGTGTTTTTATCATGTATGCAGATAGTTTGTACATTCTGTTTCTGTGTACATATATAGTTTTTATGTACTGCTTTAGAATATATATATATCTATTTTTGGACATATTTCACTATTTCTATATGAATTTATTTCTTTACACTTTTTTGTACAAAATATCTTCCAACACATAGGTTTTGCTTGTTTGACATGTGCATCTTTGTAGATGTTATACACACACAAATGGTAATGCACATACACGCAAACCTAGAAAGTGTAAAGTCTATATTATATATAGAGATATGTGTGTGTACCCTAAATATTTGCTTTATTACGCTATGAAAATACTTTATATTATACAACAAAGGGCTTAAAAAGGTGCAGTTACTGATGATCTGTTCTTGTTTAACATTTAATTAGGGTAACATGTAAGATTTATTTAAGTCTTTGAACATGTGATATCGATGTTCAATTCAAAATGTCGTATACATGTATGTTTTATAACATTTCATAACTTTAAGTTCACACATGAAAGTTGTATTGAATGATACTTTGTCTATTTTATCAAGATTGTAAATAAATTAAAATCTTAAGTAGATGCATTTCGAAACACATTGTTTGATTACAATTAGATTGATTTTTGATAGATCATATTGGAAATTTGATCATACCAAACATATTTCAGCTTGATGTAAACATTATACTGAACAATATGAATCATGAGTCAAATGTAATACTACAGTTTCATGTACATTTTATTATTCCTAAAGCAACTGTCGAAATACATGTGGGTTTTTAAAAACATATATAAGATATTAGATTGTAATGTACATATTATAATACATTGTTTAACTGTATGTTAAATGAATGTTAGAAATTATATTTAATTAGTTTGATTTACTATCTAATATACATAAAATACCAATGCCGAGTGGTAAGTTTAATGCCACGACGATTATTAAATACCATAGTTACATCAATATCGAGTTATAAGTTAGTTAATGTCATGTTTACAAATAATGATTGATTTTATATCTCTAAACCTCATCGATGTCAGAAATGGCATTGATTCCGTTTGTTATAAGTAATAATTGAATTAATTTGATGTTAGAAATAATATCGAGTTAATTTGATTTATTACTTTCTATGCTTTACAAACATATCGAACTATGCTATAACTATAATTATGTAGTAAACGTTGATGTTTTGAACTAAATGGATGTTAGAAATAATATTGATTTAGTTTAGTTAAATATCTTATTTACTAATAACATCAAGTAATAAAATTAATACTACTAAAATGACTTATTAAAGGTATGATACTTGGAACATATGAACTAAATGGATGTTAGAAATGATATTGATTTAGTTTGTTTTATAACCTTTTATACATAAAATATCGAGTTATATATAATTATTTTGATTGATAACTTTTCATTACATCAATATTGAGTGTTATAATATTACTTTATTAAAGGTATGATACTTGGAACATATGAACTAAATGGATGTTAGAAATGATATTGATTTAGTTTGTGTTATAACCTTGTTTACATAAAATATCGAGTTATATATAATTATTTTGATCGAGAACTTTTCATTACATAAATACCGAGTGTAATAACATTATTTTAACATTCTATTAAAGGTATGATACTTGGAGCATATGAACTAAATGGATGTTAGAAATGATATTGATTTAGTTTGTTTTATAACCTTGTATACATAACATATCGAGTTATATATAATTATTTTGATTTACAACTTTTCATTACATAAATATTGAGTGTTATAATATTACTTTATTAAAAGTATGATACTTGGAATATATGAACTAAATGGATGTTAGAAATGATATTGATTTAGTTTGTTTTTTAACCTGGTATACATACAATATCGAGTTATATATAATTATTTTGATTTACAACTTTTCTTCATTACATAAACACCGAATGTTATAATATTATTATATTAAAGGTATGATACTTGGAACATATGAACTAAATGGATGTTAGAAATGATATTGATTTAGTTTCATTTATAACCTGGTATACATAAAATATTGAGTTATATATCATTATTATAATTGATCATTTTTAATAACATATATACCGAGTGTCATACTGTTATATTATTAAAGGTATGATACTTGGAGCATATGAACTAAATGGATGTTAGAAATAGTATTGATTTAGTTTGTTGTATACCAAATTTGAATAAAATACCGACTTTTTTTTTAAATTTAAGATATCATTTAGATACAAATAGGTCATTTTTTATATTAAAGTTTTAATGCACTTGGTCTGTGCGAACTAACTTGATGTTAAAACGATTTTTTTTAAATTGATGAAGTACCCTTCATGCATAAAATATCAATTTGTCAATTTTGCAATAGCAGTTCAAAAGTATGAAAGGTTTGGTCTATATGAATTAAATGGATGTTAGAAATAACATTGATTTAGTTTATTATAAAGTCATATTTATATAAAATGTCAAATAATTACTCTAATATTTATGTTATAAAGGTATGGCATATTTGGCACGTGTGCATTAATTTTATGTTAGAAACGATATCGAATTGATTTTCTGCTTTACAAAAAGATCGAGCTATGATTCAACATTGAAAATGTATCAAAGGTGTGATGCTTTGAATAAGCATGAACTTAATGGATGTTAGAAATGATATTGATTTAGTTTGGTTGAATAACTTATTTACAAACAACATCAAGTTATGAATTCTATGCTTCAAAATAATAATTTATCAAAGGTACATGTATTATAGACTTGGTATATGTTATCAAATATATGAAAAACATTACCTTTGAACTGACTGGATGTTTAGAAATGATATCGATTTGTTTTAATTTGTTACCATGCTTATGTAAAAAAAAAATCGAAAAAAAAGGTAAAATGTTAAAATTAGCATTGATCAATAGAAATTTAATATCGGTTTTAAAGATATATTTTATGATAGAACTGTGAACTTAAGTGATGTTAGAAATGATATTGATTAAGTTTGTTTTTAACGAAATTCAAATAAAATTCTGATAAATTGGATAAATGTCTAAGATATTAATCATATATAAATATATAATTATAAGACTTGATCTAAGTAAACTAAATGGATGTTAGAAATGAAAATGATTTAGTTTGATTTATTACCGTTTACAAATAATAGCGGTTATCAATGCTACTAAAATGCCTTAGGTATACTAGACTTTGTCTAATGAACTAAATAGATGTAAGAAATAATATTGATTTAGTTTAATTATACCATTTTTACATAAAATATGAACACTTTATAAATTACAGTAAATCTTTACCCAGGGTATGAAATTCTAACTAAACGCTCGTTACTAGGGCATGGTTTAGCTTCCAAAAGCACATGGGTGTTATAGCGTTTGGGAAGGTTTGATGTGTGTGTGTGTGTGTTTGTTGTAATGAACTAGATGTGATCCTAAATATAAAAAAAGAAATTGTTTAGAAATAAAGTACGCAGTTTTGTTAACTTGCTGTAGCCTATGGAAAAAAGAACATTAATCAAACTAAATAGTGATGTTCAGGGTTTATATGAAATATTCCCGGAGTAGCATTCATTCCTGATGTTTAACTGGTGTGTTGATTTTCTTTAGATGTGATTT